GCGGTGAGGACGGTGAGGGGGTGAGGGGGTAAGAGGGTGAAGGGGTGAGAGGGTGAGGGCGTGAGAGGGTGAGGGCGGTACAAAGTCAGGCTGGGACTCAAGGCACTTGAGTTGGATTAAAATTACAGGCTGTGAGGGCGCCTGGGGGCTCCCTCCCTTGAGCATCCGACTTGGGCTCAGGTCACGATCTTGCGGTTCGTGGGTTCGAGCCCCGCGTCAGGCTGTGTGCTTCAGGTATAGAGCCTGCTTGGGACTCTCACACTCTCTCTCTGCCCGTCTCCTACTCCCTCTCGCTCAAATAATCAATAAATAAACTTAGAAACAAAACCCACAGGCTGCACTCTGTGTAGAGCACAGGGTGGCTGAGCCAGAGCCCCCGAGATGCTGTTCCACGCGGCAATTCTGGACGTGGATGAGGGCGCAGTCTGAGGACGCCATAACCTGGAGGCGTCTCAAGGGTCGGCAAAGAAAGAGCAACTTCCAGAACATTCCCTCTGTTCCCTCCCTAGAGCACAAGCAGAAGGTGCCTGGTTCGGAGGCTGTGCGTGGAGTGATTTGTCATCTACAGTTTTCTTAACCTTCCTCGGGTTTTCCCCTTTTTCGTTAATGACAGAACAGTGATGAGTAATTTCATCTGACTTCACAATGACATCAACTGGCACGTCTCCTGAGGGCCTTTGTCTGCCGACCGCCCTTCAGGGGAGCATGTTTGTATTTATGTCTCACATATCCCCCCCCCCCCGCCCGTGGCTCGTGGCTCGTGGCTCGTGGCTTTCCGGGAGAGAAGTAAATTCTGCTTGAGGAGAAGATGGAAAATCCAAATGTTCGATATGTGATATTTCCCATTTCCTCTCCTTTTTTCCAAGACAAGTTTGGAAATCACACGTGAGGGACGATCGTCACGGGAGAAATACGCAGCTTCCGATCTTCATGACTCACCAGTTCGTTCTTGCCTGGTTTTTATTTTACTGCCATCAATCCCCTCGGCCATTAGGGTCACTTCGCCTGAGCGTGTCTGCGTTCATGAGTCCCTCAGCTCTTCACAAACAGACCGCCACCACTCACTCTGTCCCTTTGTGTCACACACGGCTGCTTTGGGAGTGTGGACTGATCATTCTCAGCTGGGATCCTGGGGCTCCCTCCCACCACCGGGCCTTTGCACGTGCTGCTGGTTTTGCAAAGAGTGCCTTTCCTTTCACCGTCTGCCTCGGCGGATTAGGCGTGAGACCGGCCCCGCCCCTTTCTCCCACAAACCTTCATAGGCCCCTCCTTGAGGCGGTGCCATGTCCCCCCTCCGGCCACAGCAGGCTCTGTTCGCCTCCGTCCCGCGCTGCGGTGACCCGTGCTTGCGGGAACTGTGCAGACACGGACTCTGGCTGTGTCCTGCTCACTCCTGTCCCCCCACGGCTTTGCGTGGTGCAGGGCAGGGAACACAACGGCTCCGGAAGTGCCTATTAATGAAAGACAAATATCTAAGGAATCCGTTTGCCACGTCAGCGTCTCCAGAAAGTCTTCTGTGATCCTTCCGACCCGGGAGGCCTTTCCCCACGCGCCTCCCTTTGCATTCTGTCCACGCCTGTCTTTGGCCGTGACCCCTCTCTCCTCTTCCGTCCCATGGCAAAGAGCCGGGCACTTAGGAAGTGCTCGCTAAGTGCTCACCGGATGGCAGTTAGTGGAAAACCGAACTGACAGCATGGAAAGAACCGTTCTGGGACATTCCGTGTACCGGGATTGGGTTTTTTCGTCCTTACGTTGTCAAAAACAGTGTTCCAAATGTTCCCTGATATTCCAGGGGGGAGCATTAATTCTGAGACCCAACCAGCCATCCGGGTAGTTAGTTCCCTTTCCCTGTAGGTCACAGAATTCCCTAGGCGTTGCGGTTGCCGCCTTGAGGCCGCAGGTTCCCGAAGCCCAGACGTGAGGCTGCCCAGGGTTTTCACGCCACCCGCGCCGGAGCCCAGGCGACCCGTGTCATGAGGTCAAGTCAGCTGCGCGTGTCGCGCCGGCACCTCTCCCCTGCTGCCCGGGGCTGGGGGGAGGGGGTCGGCGCGACGCCGCGGAGCCCCTGCACGGCTGACCTTGGCCACAGCCGCTGGGTGTCCAGGGCTCAGAGAGACGCGGTGTGGCCCGAGGCCCTCGTCATCATCACACTGCTGACAGCAAGCCATCTAACCTGGTCCGAGGTCCCAGGTATGCAAAGATACTGTTATCAGACAGAACATTCCAGCGGCTCCTAACCAGCTCATGCCGGTCCGAGAAGGGCCAGGCCCTCCTTTGGAATGTGCCAGATGGCACAGCCTAAGCCTGCTGGGTTAACCCTTTACTGCCCAGCCAGCGTGAGATGTGAGACGTCCACCTGGACCCGTGGGAGATTTTGTGACCCTCAGGCAGCCCCTGCGTCCAGGCTACAGAAAGCCTGGGGACCCTGGGGCGTCTGGGGAAGCTGCTCCTCACTTCAAACCTCAGGAAATGGCCTCCGAAGGGACCGGTGAGATCTAGGCGAGTGTCTCCCGAAGTTCCAGAAGCCCAGGAGCTGACACTGGATTCGCGCCTGGGAGAGCCCGGCGTGGCCGCTCTGGATACAGGGCTTTGGGACCTGACCCCTTGCCCAGATTGTCCTGGGATCAAAACCCTGGGGTGTTTCTGGTGGCCGGAGGGAGAGACCCGGTGAGGGTCTTCCTGGGTCCCGGTCAAGGTGAGTCCAGCAGGGGGCTGGACCCCAGGGCTCTGGGAGGCTAGGGAGGAGCTGTAGGCGCCAAGCCAGAAGAAGACGCTTCAGCCCAGAGCTGGGAAAGGGAGGGGCTTGGGAAGAACCCTTTTATTTGTTTTTAAGTTTATTTATTTTGAGAGACAGAGCGCGCCAGCGAGGGAGGAGCAGAGAGAGAAAGGGAGGGGGAGAGTCCCAAGCAGACTCCGTGCTGATGCGGAGCTCGAACTCACAGGCCATAAGGCCAGGACCAGAGCCAAAACCGAGAGTTGGAGGCTCAGCCGACTGAGCCGCCCAGGCGCCCCCGAGGAACGGAAGGGAACGAGGAAGCCCGCCCACGGGACCATCCGTGGGGAACTTTCCTGTCCGGTTTCTACCCTCTGGAGAGCCCGAGACCCGTGAGCAAGACGTGGGACAGGGTCGGGGAAGCATCTTTGTTGACTTCAGCCTGTCTGGCTCAAAGCTGGGGAAGGGGGACAGCCTCAGCCAAGAAAGAAGTGTAAGTTCTAATTGTTAAGGACACTGCGGGTGCTAACTAGGGCACTGGCCGTGTCCTGGAGGGCAGAGTCGCGGGAGGAACTTTTGGGCTCCGTTTCCGGCTCTGGGCTTCAGTGCTAGAATTTTCTATTGATTTGTCTTCACCTGCACTTAATTCTGTTCCCTGCTGTGCCCTCCTCCTGTAGGCCATTGTAGTAAGTACCTAACTTGAGATGTTAGGTTTCGTAGTTCTAGAATGTTCTCTGTTTTTAAAATATTTATTTTATTTTTGGAAGAGAGACAGAGACAGAGTGTGAGCAGCAGAGGGACAGAGAGAGAGGGAGACACAGAATCTGAAGCAGCTCCAGGCTACGAGCTGTCAGCACAGAGCCCGACACGGGGCTCAAACCCACAAACCGTGAGCTCTTGACTTGAGCCGAAGTCAGATGCTTAACTAACTGAGCCACCCAGGTGCCCCTAGAATGTTCTTTAAAAATATATTTCAGGGGCGCCTGGGTGGCTCAGTTGGTTGAGTGCCTGACTCTTGATTTGGGCCCAGGTCAGAATCTCACACTTCGTGGGATCGAGCCCCGTATGGGGCTCTGCACTGACATGCATGCGGATCCTGCTTGGGATTCTCTCTCTCTCTGGCCCTCCCCCCTCTCAAAATAAGTAAATAAATGAAAACATTTTTAATACACATTTTAGTTCTCTATTGAAACGTCCATTCCTTTCATCCATTTTCCCTCTACTTTCTCAAAAATACGGATCCAAGGCCGCCCTCGCTCCCGCCACCTCCCACACCAGGGTCCTCACAGATCCCACGTCTGACCCCTTCAGCTCTTGATCGCTGGCTCCTTGTGTCCTGTCCCTTTGCGTGTCTAGTGACTTGATCCCATGCAAAGCCTGTAGGCGGCACAGCCCAGAGGCCCTGGGCCGTCAGGCTTCCCTGGAGGGTGTCGGGCTCCGGCCTCGCACAGTGAAATCCGGGAGGACCTCCTGGCCGGGACAGGTGTTTGCAGTTGTGGCCGGCCGCCGGCCGCCCTGGCTGCCACCACGCGGTCCTGCGGCGAGGCTGTGTCTTTCTGAGGCCTCGGCCGAGGCTCAGGCGCTAACCAAGCACGTGTGCTGCTGACCTTGTCGTGTGCTCAGCTCTGCAGCCCCCCGGGGTCTTCCCTGACCCCCCGTGGGGGCAGGGCTCAGCCACGGATGTGATGGGAGCGCTTTTTTCACAGATTTGTTTTCACTCCTTATCTGAGGCTCTGTTCTCGCAGGTCCAGGCTCCGAGCTGTGAGGCGAGATGCCTGCCCTCCGCCGCGCCGTGGTCTGGAGATGATTCCTGAGCTTCAGCTCGGCCCTCAGGAGTTGCCTTCCGTCCACCTCCGTGCGCAGCCCACAGAGAGGAGAGGGGCTGCCCGGGGCACGCGTCCGGGATGCTCGGCTGTCCCAGGACGGCCGGAAGCCAGGCGCGGAGAGGGGGCGCACCAGGAGTCACCAGGGACCAGCGTGGTTCTCACGCGGAACAGCAGGAGGCTGCGCTCTAACGCGGGGAACGTACGGTCTGGGAAGACAGAGCGATGCTGGAGAAGCATGCTCGGTGAACGCTTGCTACATTGCGCCAATTAAGCTAGAAATTGTGCATTTAAATGTTACCTCCAGGCTGAACTCTGCGGGGGTAAAGTCTAGCATACAATTAACACACAGAGGGCGGAGGACTGAGCTCTCTCTCTCTCAGCTCTGACACAGAAGAGAGCAAAGAGTCTGAAAGGCAAGTTTAACAAACAACTCATGACCACGACTACTGTGCTGACAAGGAAGGAAGGAAGGAAGAGAAAAGAAAAATGTAGGGAACAGTTCAAAAAGGAGACGCTTGTTTATTACAAGCATCACAAGCGTTGACTTGAAAGAGTATACAGATGAATTTTGCTTGTTCCTGACAGAAATGTGAGCAGAATGAATGATCAGAATGCTTAATTTTAAAAGAAAGGCAAATGGCCAAAATCATAAGAAAAAAAATGTTCCAGTAAAGGCAGAATAAAACAATCGGTTCGATCCGATTGATTGATTGTAAGCGTAGCAGAGAAACTAAGTGTGGAACAATTTAAATAACGATCAAGTCAAACAATGTAAATGTCAATCCAAATGGGTGGGTTGCTTAAATTATGATGAGTTAAAGAATGGTGTGAATATGACCCTATCCTGACAGAAACGTGGCTATTTATGGGTGTAGATGTGTATGAACATAGGCACGGGCTGAATGACTCATGACGAATTGGTGATAGTTGACATCATAGAACTATTCTTTTACTGACGATATTTACATATCATAACAAGTATGTATCAAGAAATCAAGAGGCAGACACTTGGGGCGTCTGGGGGGCTCAGTCAGTTGTTTCTGACTCAGTTTGGGCTCAGGTCATGATCTCCCAGTTCATGGGGCCGAACCCCACGCTGCAGCGAGGAGCTTGCTTGGGCTTTGCTCTCTGACCCTCCCCACACCCCCTTCAAAATAAATAAATGAACTGTAGGAAAGGAGGCAGACAGTGAGCCGACTGAGCCACCCAGGTGCCCCTAACCGGTGGCTGCTTAAATCAAGTCCACCTGGTGGATTAAGTCCAAGGGCTTCTTTGCTCCCTGTGCCCGTTCCAAACTCCCAGCGCCTTCCAGCTCGTTCCGTCCAGCACTCTGACCTGCCTCCGACCTCCCCGCAGTCAGCAGCCGACTTCTGGGTCACTGTCCCAACGTTCACGAGGGGGCAGGGCCCGCGGCTCTGCCTTCCGCTCCACCCGCACTCCCGCTTTATCTCTTCCGGCGTCCGGATCGTAGAAGTCGTCCCCACGAGCTGACCGCACCCCGCCCGGCAAGCCCGTTCCGTCTGCAGTCAGCGTGCTTTTCTCCGCGATGACGTTTTTACCACGTGAAGCTACTTCTCCCTCCACATCAGGTGATGTCCGCAGGTGCTTGGAGAAATTCCACTCTTAACTTTCTCAGCCTCCACAGATGAGGAAGTCCTGCGATACCTGTTCTTCCCTGACTTGTTTTACTCAGCATAACACTCTCTAGTTCCATCCACGTTGCTGCAAATGGCAGGATCTCATCCTTTCTCATCGCCGAGGAGTATTCCGTGTATATATAAGCCACATCTTCTTTATCCATTCGTCAGTCGATGGACATTAGGGCTCTGCCCATACTTTGTCTATTGTCGATAGCGCTGCTATAAACATGGGTGCATGTGCCCTGTGCATCAGCGTTTTTGTATCCTTTGGATAAATTCCTAGTAGCGCAATTGCTGGGTCGTAGGGTTGTTCTATTTTTAATTTTTTCTTAACAGAAGACCGTGGGGGAGGGGAAGGGGAAAAATAGTTTCAAACAGAGAGGGAGGGAGGCAAACCGTAAGAGGCTCTTAAATACAGAGAACAAGCGGAGGGTTGATGGGGGTGGGGGGGTGGGCATTGAGGAGACACCTGTCGGCACAAGGGCTGGCGTCGTGTGTAGGCGATGAATCATGGGAATCCACCCCGCAGCCAAGAGCACCCAGTCTGTGCTGTATGTTAGCTCACGTGACAGTAAGTTATATTTAAGAAGAAAAAGAAGAAGAAGACTTCTGCCCTTTGGTGGGGGGAGGGGGGTCAGTTTGCTCCTTTGCCGCTGCTCTCAGGCCACCCCTGAGTGGTGCTGCCCCGGCAGGAGCCTGTTTGGGACGGACTTGGGGCACAGGGAGCTGGCTGATTCGTGATCCGGGCGCCAGCCTCCTTCCTCCCCAGGAGGCCGCGGCCGTGACCTGCGTGGGTGATCGTACGTGTCCTGTTTGTGGAACTTACTTGTGCCTCTGGACCCTGTAGGCCCAGACTCAAAGGCACCGTTTCCATCGCGTGCTCACTCTTTGTGGCTTGGGTGGGTGGGGGGGTCGCCAGTACCTGGATCCTAATGGTAGTTTTGACCCTTCCGTGACTCACATCCGACGCACACTCTCACCCAGGACCCAGGGGCACGCCAGGACCTGCCTTTCCAGTGGGGAACGTTCTGCGCGGCGAAGAGCATGGCCGGGTTCCAGAACCCCGGGGGCCGGGGGGGAGGGCGGCGCTGGACTCTCCGGCCTCACATGAACTCCTTACTGGCCAGGAAGTCCTCGGGCACTGTGGAATTTGCCGGATCACGTGGCCCTAGTGGCAGGGCTGTTTGCATCACAGTCCAGAACCCAGGGCACAATTCTCTGGGCTCTGGGCTCTGGCCAGGAGCCTGGGCAGCTGGAGTCAGGCTGTCTTACAGGACCATGGAAAGGCCCAGAAGGCACCTGGGTGAGGAAGGGTGGGGGCAGAGACGCCATGTTCCCCTCCCAATTACCGCGCTTTTCATGGCCATGTCTGCTTCAGCACAAATTCATCTCTTTTCCCCTTTGAGGATAGAATTTACCTTTCGAGCTCTGCCTCCAAGAATCTAATTTCATATATGCAACACCCTGAAACTAAATATGCTTCCGTTTACTGATTGCCTGGACACAGAAGTGCTCATTCCTTCCAAGAGAGCTTTTAAATATTTATTTGCTTGCATGGAGGACTTTAGAAGTCCTCTGTTAGCCCTTAGGAAGGTCAAGTTAACATTTTACCCTCCATTGCTTCTCAGTGTCCAGGCAGCATTCTCCAATAGAAATATAGTATGAGCCACACGTTAGTTTAAACGTTCTAGCTGCTGTGTTACAAAAGGAAAAAGAAACAGGTGAAATTAATCTTTAAAAATTTTTTAAATGTTTATTTATTTTTGAGAGAGAGACAGCGTGAGCTGGGGGGGGGGGGGGGCAGAGAGAGAGGGAGACACAGAATGCGAAGCAGCTCCAGGCTCCGAGCTGTCAGCACAGAGCCCGACGCGGGGCTCGAACCCGTGAATCATGAGATCATGACCTGAGCCGAAGTCAGACACTCAACCGACTGAGTCCCCCAGTTGCCCTGAAATTAATCGTAATAATATATTATGTTTAATCTAAAACATCTGAGTGCGTGTGGCACTAGCCGGGTGTCAAGCCTCCATTACCACACGCGGCGAGGGGTCGCGTTGGAAAGCTCTGGTCCTGACTCGTCCCCAGGAACTCCCCACATTCATACTAAACCTTAGAGGTTACACATTCCCCCCATGTCTTATCCCGTTTATTCCTTAAGAGACAAAGAACAAACGGGTTTTGTCACTTCCATGTTAAAAATGAGAAAATCGAAGCTCAGAGAAATGAGCTCATTCGCCCGAGACGGCCCGGTGGCCAGAAAGTGGTGCAAGTGGGACTCACCTCCCGCCATTTTAGGCTGATTCTGTCTTCAACGGAGCAGTGGCTCCAAACTTGTCTGCACATTCAATTCCCTTCGGGATTGTTTAAAATCTCCAAAGCCCAGCCACAGCCCAGGCGCGGGGAATCGCAGCATCAGGGGGTTGGACGCGGTACCAGCAGGCGGGTCCAGCACGCGCTCGGGCCTGGGAAGCATCTGACGGGAAACACGCAGTTCCGCTGGCGCAGAAAGGAAGACAGTCCAGTGCGTTTCTGTGATGGGGGATTCATGGAAAGTTGTGGCTCTATGTTGCTGGGCTTTGGGTTTTCATGAAATTAATATTATTTAGCTGATGCTGGTTTCTTGGTTTTGTTCGGACTTCATTTCTGCACAGTCACTATGAACTCCTTCTCTGTAGCGCAGACTTGACAGGACCCTAGGGAAACTGCCCTGAATGTCCCTCATCCGTTTCTCTTACGCCGTGAGGGGTATCGATGCGGTAACAAAATTAAACTGTTTTCTCATTCAATCAGCAGATGTATGAGAACTCGCACCACGTGTGATGTTGGAGGACATGGGGGAGAAAAATGAATGTCGAGCTCATGTTTTGGGGGGCTCACAGCTTGGGGCAGGAAGCTCACGCACACGTCTGAACGGCCGCGGGACAGAGGATGCGTCACGGTGAGAATGTGCCCTGGGGGTCCGCACGGAGGAGGCACTGGGTACCTGGGTGCTCGTGGGCGGAGGGGAGCTGCTTTACAGGAAATAGTGGGGTGGCTGCGACCAGCCGGGAACGCTGCTGCGTCCTCGTCAGGACGCTTGTCTGCAGGGGCTGAAACCCCACGGGACCTGGTGGCGGCAGGAGGAGAGATGTTCAGCTCGCGGATCCACCGGCTGAAACACCAGACGGCGGGGAAGCCTCTGGAACATCAGGAACCACAGACGCCAAAACAATCCGGTCTCTTTCTCTCTGATTTTCTCTATGTCGGTTCCTTCTCTCTTACGTTAAACTGGCTTCCTCAACGCGATCGAAACAGGACTGCGAAAATTCCTCTTTTGCGTGCGTCCCGCACTGTCCAGCACCAGCAGGAAAATTTCCAGACAGCTGGTCCCCCAGCCAGAATAACAGGCGAGGAGAGCAGCAGGTGCGGGTGGAAACGAAGCAAGGTTGGCCGTGAGCTGATCCTCGCTGAGGCTGGAGACTGAGCACACGGTGTCCGCAATGCTATGTGCTCGGCTCTTACATACGTTGCAGATTTTCTTTAAATGCAACAAAAAAGTCCCCAAGAAGAAGTCATGTTCACTCATCTTGATCCAAGTCCGGGTCCAGCACCAGTGACCAGGGCGCATGCTGATGTGAGGACTCGGCGGCTCTAGGGAGGACCTGGTGTCTGGGACCGCGGGGCCAGATGGAAGAGCTGTTCCCCAGATAACAGGGAGTCTGTCTCCAGGGAAGGAGGGGAGGGCTCCCAGGCAGAGGCGGCCCCGCTCCAGGCTGACCTCTGACCCTGTATCACCTGCGTCTCTCTCCTGGGCTCAGTGCCTGCACTTCTGAGGGTCACCACTGCCCCGGCTGGATGTTCCCTGTGCACCTGCGCCTCAGGGTGCCCCGAGTGAAGTGGACCCCCCGCCCCTCCAGTCTCCTCCTCCGCTGGGTGCCCCAGCCGCCCCTTCTGAGTCGTTTTCCACTGAACGTGCTCCCGCCACACACTCAAATCTCAGCGTAGTCGACTCTACTTCTGAAGCATGTCTCCTCCGCCCTGTCCTCCTTACTCCCTGCTCCTGGCCCTGAGTCAGCGTGACCCCAGCCCCCCGCTCCAGAGCCCACACTGGCCCACAGCACCCTCAGCTGTCCGCATCGCCGAGTTAATGACTTCCCTCTGTGCTTCGTGATCCTGTGACAACCATGAGGCCATTTATTTATTTTCTTAATGTTATTTATTTTTGAGAGAGAGAGACAGACAGACAGACAAAATGCAAACAGGGGAGGAGCAGAGAGAGAGGGAGACACAGAATCTGAAGCAGCTCCAGGCTCTGAGCTGTCAGCACAGAGCCCGACGCGGGGCTCGAACCCCCGAACCGTGGGATCCTGACTTGAGGCAAAGTTGGACGCTCAACCGACTGAGCCCCCCAGGCGCCCCAAGGCCATTTAATATCTGGTCTTAAACTGCTTCTAAGCTTCCTGCCATTTGCACCACTGCATTTACACGCATGTACACGTGCTGCCTCTTCTTCATGGACATGTTGGCTGAATTCTATAAGATGGAGCTGAAGACCCTCCTCCTTTATAAAAACCTTCTCTGCCTTCTCGGGCCGTCTCACCCCCCTGTACGCCGCCTCCCAGGCCCTCCCTGTGTGTGCGGCGCCTCCGACAGCGGTGACCTTCTCACATTTGTGTCCCCCTTTCCCATGCTGAAGCCCCTCTCAGTTACGATGAGCGTATCCCATGTACATGAAGCAATGAACACGTTTCTTGGGGAGCCTGGGTGGCTCATTTGATTGAGTGCCCAACTCTCGATTTTGGCTCCGGTCCTGATGCCACAGTTTGTGAGTTCAAGCCCTGTGTCGGGATCTGCGCTGACAGCTCAGAGCCTGCTTGGGGTTCTCTCTCTCCCTCCTCCCTGTCCCCCCCCTACTCTCTCTCCCTCAAAATAAATACACATTAAAAAAAAAAAAAAAGAATAGGGAGACATCCAAATGTGGGATGAGGGCTAAAGCTTGGAAAAGAAGAATTGAGTAAATTTCTTAATACATTAGACGGCTGCAATACGGAACGGGCTTCTAGATCCCAAGGGCCCCCAGAACTCAGGCTCAGCCACTTGTTAAAGATTGAAGACGGGTCTGCAGCTTCAGCGAAAGGGAACTGCCTCCTGATACAGCCCTTCCGTGTTTGGAGAGCTCCTGTCGGGTCCTCCTGATGGACTGAGTCCTCCCCCGCGGCTCCGGCCGGCCCCACCTCTACCCCCTGACACTCCCCGAGGGGCCGCCAGTCTTCGGACGACGCTGAACACCACACATGCCTCCACGGATCCCTCGGAAGGCAGGGTCTGAGTCGCTAAGCCTCTGCCTCTGCTCCCGGCTCAGCCGGCCTCCGCCTCTGGGTCTGTGGCTCCAGAGTCCAGGCCGCCCCCTGGACACCAACGAGGAGTGAGGAGGAGGACTCGTGAGTGGTACCCAGGGCGCGCTTGACGTGGCCTGACACTGCGTAGCTTTCACCCCGGTGCTTGGCGGCCCGTGATGAAGAGCAGAGGAGCCGGGTGCGCCTCGGGGCTGGGACTGGCCGGCAAGGGGGAGCCCTTCCTGAAATCCATCCCGCCTGATCGCACCATCTGCACGCCGTCGCAGCCCCCTCGCTCCTGAAGACCGTGCGCCTGAAGCCAACTTGTTCAGAACTTTCCACTGTACAGTCTCAGAATTTATTGATCTGTTTTTTAAAAACTATATCCTTTCCTTGTTTGATAGAGCAAAGGGGAAGGCATTGTTCACAGATTTCCGAATAACATGTGCCTTAGAATCCAATACATGAGTGGTCCCTTTACTGGAGATTACGTACAAGGGGCGCCTGGGTGGCTCAGTCAGTGAAGCTTCTGATTCTGGGCGTCAGCGCAGGTCATGATGTCGCAGTTCGTGAGTTCGAGCCCCATGTCGGGCTCTGCGCTGATGACGCAGAGCCTGCTTGGGATTCTCTCCTCCTCTCCCTCTGCCCCTGTCTCCCCCCCAAAATAAGTAAATAAACATTAAAAAAATAGAGATTATGTAAGAGGACAGAATAAACCTTATCTCATTAGACTTCCAGAAATAAAGTGGGGTTTCTTAGTCACCCGTGACTGGGATTCTTGTGCAAACCTGAGGTGCTGTGAGGGAAGGGACTGGGCTTCCCGGGTCTCTTCTCAGTTTGGGGGTGAAGGTGGGGGTGGGTGGGAAGATGGGTGAAGCTCTCGCTTCCTCGGCTGACTGTCTGGGAGGGGAAGAACGGTTGGAAATCGAGCCGTAGTGATTTGTGGCCCATAAAGAAATTCAGACTGTCAGAGTCTCTAAGTAACTCTGCCACCAAGCCCGGCAGCACCTGACACCCGGCGGGGGAGGGAGCGCCCTGGGGAGGGTCGGGCGCATGTCTATGTCAGGGAGACGGCGTGACCCGATCAGAAGGGCTTTAGCCGGAATTTAGAAGAAGAGGGAGAGACGCCCAGATAAGCCTGTGGAGCCAGTTGCTGTGCAGTGTGCAGGCTTGACTCACACAGGAGGAGCTTATGATTCACAGAGAAGATTGGGGGGGGCGAGGGCTGTAAACGATGCACGCAGCCTCGGCCGCCGACACCATAGCACACATTTTTCTGGTGATAACGTGCATTTGAGGTCGAGATAGAGGGTAGTAAATGCAGGCTTACAAGGTAGCATGACGTGGTGTGATAAGAACTCAAGATAGGAATATAGGGATTACAAAGGGCAAACTTCTTTAAAGTTAGTTTTTATTATTTAAACATTTTTATAGCGACGCCTGGGTGGCCTAGTCGGTTAATTGTGCGACATTGGCTCAGGTCACGATCTCGCATTCGTGGGTTCAGACCCGCGTCGGGCCCTGTGCTGACGGCTCAGAGCCTGGAGCTGTTTCGGATTCTGTGTCTCTGCCTCTCTCTGCCCCTCCCCTGCTCATGCTCTGTTTCTCTCTCTCTCAAAAATAAAAAAATAAAAATTTAAAAAAATTTAAAAAACCCGCTTTAACAAAAGGTAACGCTATCGTAACCACTAAAGTCCTAGTTTGTCGATTTAGGGATCGTCGACCTTAAAAGTGTATGCCCCTCCCCCCTGATTTTTTTTATATCTCTTTCTCATCTATTCAGGCTGCAAAAAACCTGGTCCTGAAATTTCACACTCAGATGGGATTTGTAAAAGACCCAGTCTGTTGTAAAATTGGTTTTTAAATGTTTATTTATTTTTGAGAGGTAGAAGGAGGGGCAGAGAGAGGGAGACCCAGAACCAGAAGCAGCTCCAGGCTCTGAGCTGTCCTCACAGAGCCCGACGCGGGGCTCAACCCACAAACCCTGAGATCATGACCTGAGCTGAAGTCGGACGATTAACCGTCTGAGCCCTCTGGGCGCCCCTGACCCCCCAGTTTCTCTTAGAACTGCCCCTCGGGGGCTGAGGTCACACTCCATAAAGTCAGCAGACAGTGCTCACGTCAACAAATTCTCCTGACTTGTCACAACTCTTACGAACACATCTCGCTGTGGCCTGGGCATCTCAGAAATTAGCGAGATGCCAATTATGTGACCTGCCTGTTTGCGCAAGGGGCCCTGCTGTGCTTCGGGGCACGTCTGAGACAAGCACACGGTGATTACAGGCTGGCTCTGGGGACCGGCCTCAATTAGCCAATCGCTTCTCAGTTGTCATTATATTATCCATATTTATAGCATCTGACATTCTCACGGTGCTCTTTAATCATGCTGCATGTGGGTTGCCTTCATCTAAATCTTTCACCAAACTCGGGGTACCGGACGTTCCTGTTCTCTGCACCTTCCTGGCGGAGAAACAAGCGCTGAGCGGTGTCCAGGGACAGCACCTGAGGGTTATGGTCACAGGTCAGTCGGGCAGGTTAGTGGCAGTTAAACGTGCAAACCGAGGTAAAGGCCCGCGGGGTACAGGAGCATAGGTCGATGAGATACTCAGACACTGGGCTAAAGGCGAACATATAGAGTGTTTAGGCCGGAGACCTGAGGACCGGACTTGCCTGACCAGAGCCGCGGAATGTCCGGAGCCTAGAGCCTGGGCAGCCGGCAGCACGGGGAACCGAGGACGTCTGTACCTTGTACGCTGGGCCGGCTCCGGCGTCCTTCTTCCTCTCCCCGGTCCCCCCCTCCCCTTCCTCCCTGGGTCTGAGAGCTCCCTACTCTGTCCTGGCCCTTCTTCATCCCCGGACTGGGCAGCGAAGAAGCTTGGGGCAGGGAAGAGAGGGTTGTCTGAATCTGAAATACAAACGTAGGATCCCCTCCATCTGCTCCCTGCTGATACCCCCCACACACAGCTTGAGCATGGACCCCGATTGCAGAGACTCTGACAAAATTTGTTTATGATGCATTATGTTCCCCTTGTGATTCGCAGCGATCCCACGGAAATGCCGCAGGGAGTCGCAGAGCTCTCCCGGGCGCGCCCCGTTCCGCAGGCTCAGCGACGTGCTTAGACGATTTTCTTGGCCCAGCCACCCGGACAGGCGCCTCTCTGTCACTCCACATCGGGTTGGAGAACACACCCGCCCCGCTCTTTTCTTCATTGTAACTCGTAAAAGCTCATCCTCAAGTCTGCCGATCTGGAAATTATTTGAATGCAGGGCTGGGTTTGTTAGAAATGTTTTTTTGGCCCTAAATAGAAAACCAACCAAATGTTAGATTGTGTGCTGTTTCTTCCTTCTAATCCACGGTGAACATGGTGCTTAGGTTTTGTTTTCTTTCGTTAGATGAGTAATTTCAAAGGCGAGTCACCTGTGCTGAGAGTTCCTCGTCAAGTTCAGCATCGGACCAAGCGGGGCAGGCTGGTTTTGTCAATGTCATCACTCAGCAAAGGGCTTTGCAAGGAATGGCTTTCCGGAGCCTCCGCCTGACCCTGGCCACTGCTCAGCGTGGGGTCACACATTGTCACACGCTCCCAGGCAGTGTCTCCAGCCTCAGCTTTACTTGCTAACCCGTCCAGCCCGAGGGTAACCCCACAGGACGTCTCGGCAGCCAGCCCCCCACGCAGCTTACTGGCCAGCGGAAGGGCCCCCCACCTCCCTTCGAATCCTAGTCATGTCTTCCTCCTCCTTCCCGCTCTCGTTTGCAGCTGACCCTCCCGGAGGAATGGTGTCTTTGGTCAAGGCTGCTCCTCTCTTTGTGCTTTTGATCCTGTACGATCCTCTCCTCTGGCTCCATCAGGCGCCCCTCCTCCCTGCAAAAACACCAAGTCTCTGCCTCACAAAAGAAACGCCCTTCCCTGAAAACAAAACATAGTCCTTTTACTTCTCTATGACTCACCATCAAGTTCTCTAACCCACACTCTACACCCGGGGGGACTGAACGGCGTCCACCAGAGTTCATGTCCACTCGGATGCTCAGAATGTGACCTGATTTGGAAATAGAGCCTTTGAAGAATTAATTAGTTAAGACTCTCTAGGGACGCCCGGGTGGCTCAGTCGGTTAAGCATCCAACTTCGGCTCAGGTCATGATCTCGAGCTTCAGGAGTTCAAGCCCCGCGTCCGGCTCTGTGCTGACAGCTCAGGGCCTGGAGCTGCTTCGGATTCTGTGTCTCCCTCTCTCTGACCCTCCCCTGCTTGTGCGCTCTCTCTCTCTCTCTCTTTCTCAAAAAAATAAGTAAACATTAAAAAAAAGAATAGATGAAATTATCACGGATTTTTGGCTGGGTCAACGGCTGGGCCGGACTCTCTGCACCTCCTACTTGGCTTATGGCTCAGCCTTCCCTGGCTCCCTGTCTCCAGCCATTGCTCACGCTGCCGCTCCCGGCGCGTTGCTGAATCATGTGTTACTTCTCTGATCGAAAATCCCCGATGGTTCCCCACCACCTGGAGAAGTTCAAGGCGCCGGCCCTGACATTTTCTAATTCCGCCACAATTTAGTCCCAGTGCGTCTAATCTGGTTTTATGTTGTGCCTCTTAACCCCACCTAAGAGAGCAAGGTTTCCCAAGCTATGTGTCACTGCTGTCTGTCCCCAAGCCTTGTGAGGCAGTGTTTCCTGATTGCCCCCCATCCCCGGATCCACTGGAAATTTTAACAGCATGAATAATAGTATATGTTTGTCACGTTCTGGGCCCCCTTTGGAGACCTACAAATCCTTGGGCTATCTGAGGTTGCTTTGCCCCCAAAAGGCAATTTCGACATCTGTGGAGGTGACATCACTCCGTGTCCAGAAGTGCGAGGGCATGAGTGGGGTGAACGTGAACTTTGGAATCTGAATCAGATCAGGATTTCTTCTCCAAAATGTTCAAGCTGTGTGACCATCGAGAAGCCGTTCAAACTCTCCGGTTGCCAGAGACGCGCGTGCAGGTGGGGGCCCTCCTCAAGACCACGCCCCAGACCACCTGCTCCTTCGTCCATTACTATTTCCCTTCCTTCCCTCCCACGGGAGCCCGGAGCACTTTCTGCTGAGCCTCCTGCGGCTTACCGGTCCCAGAGTCCGCTTCCCCGCGGGGGGCCACAGCCTGACGATTTCCCACACAAGGGGCCCCACGAACGTGCCTCCTCACCCCCCACACTCTGCCCAGCGGCCCAGGGGGGCTCGGACACTGCCCGTCTGTATGTGCTCCAGGTACTTCCTCTGGCTCAAATGTCCCTTCCGATCGCTTGCCTTCCCCCCGAGGGGGTGTGAGCGGCCGTGGGCGCCCCCAGCCTCCCGTCCTGCCCGTCCGTGAGCTTCCCCGTGAGGCAGACGGGTCGCTGAGCCAACAGGCCCGCCCCGCCCGTCTCCCAGGGGGTGTTCACGCATCAGAGCTGGGGCCGCGCTCCCGGTGCCCGACCCACACTCGGGAAGGGGCCTCGTCTCTGGCCCCGGGTCCTGCCCCGCTGCGGTCTCCCGCGTCCCCCTGAGCCCATTTAGGTTCGCAGCACATGCTCCTCCTGCGTTGGAGGCCGCGCCGTGGAAGGCTTCGAACACTAGCACTTTGTACGTAGCTCATGACCACCTGCTTCCAACGCTTTGGGGAAAAAGCAGGATACAGGATACGGAGGTAGCGTTCGATCGAGCTGTTGGAGAGTGATTTAACTGGTGGCCTTCGAGGACCAGGACGCAGCCTGCAGGAGGTGATGGCGGGACCCCCTGCGGACGCGGATTTCCTGGGGACTGTCACCAGTTCTGGGGCCCTGCCTCCAGGAACTGTGATTTATTGCTCTGGGGTGTGGCCTGGGCTTGGGAAGCTTAAAAAAAAAAGTACTCAGATAATTTTAACAGGTAGACAAGCCTGGGAGCCACTGGGTTATGGGGTTATTGAACATCAGCAGAGTGTAGGCAGTATAGACCACGCTTTCCAAGATCTCTCCAGCGGAGGGAGAATGAGCACAGGAGCTTGAAGGCGTGGGAGGGAGGCAGGGGGCGAGGGCTTGCGTATTCGTTTCGGAGGTGGGGGAGCTTGGAAATCTTGTCGGCTCAAGGAAGCAATCCAGGCACAGTACAGATCCAAGCTAAGAGAGCAGGAAGTTTCTAGAATACTGGAGGTGATGGGTCAGTGGCATGAGTGGAGGGATTTATCTTAGGAGGAGGAAGGGTGTTCTTTGCACTGTGCTCTCTGCTCAGAATGACCCCTTGTTCCTTCAACGCCCAGCTCAGAGCAGGCGTCTACCACTGACCCCACACAGCAGTGACCTGTGTCACGGCATTCCCTGTGTCACAGCTACAATGAGGGCGATGTTATTTCTGAGTCTTGCTCCCTGAAGGCAAGACCATGCCTCAGGCAACTTTGTGACCTGTTTGTAAGTCCTGTGCGGTTCTTGGAGAATACTATCCTCACTTAGATGCACTGCACCCCACCTTTTCACAAAAGTGATTTAAGGAAGCTTACGAGGTTATCTAAATTTTAAGCTGGCATAAGTGTGGGGGTTTAAAAATAAAGGGGAAAAAACAGAGGCAACAAAATAGAATAAAAAACAAGCCATAATTGCAAAAGATCACCTACATGCCGGCTTCAAAAAGGGCAGCATTTGGGGCGCTTGGGGGCTCAGTCGGTTAAGTGACTGACTTCGGCTCAGGTCATGATTTCACAGTTCGTGGGTTCGAGCCCCGCGTCGGGCTCTGTGCTGACAGCTCAGAGCCTGGAGCTGCTTCACATTCTGTATCTCCCTCTCTCTCTCTCTGCCCCTCCCCTCTCATCCTCTGTTTCTCTCTCAAAAATAAAGAAATAAACATTTTTAAAAGGGCAATATTTGGCTCTGAGCTTTCTGTCAGCCAATGTAAAAGGACCGAATCTGGACTATAAAATTCACAAGTGTTCACTACAAGTGAGCGGATGACAGAGCGACAATCCTTACTCCAGTCTCCTCTGTATCAAGCTTAGCTGCAAACTCCTTCCAGTGGGTTCCAATATGGAAGCCCTTAGGTGATAAAGGTCTTATTCCAGTGTCTGTGCTACACAGCGAGTCGCTCTGCAGCCCGGTGACCAAAATGAGCTACTGACTGTCTGTCGTTGGTCTTGTGGGTGGATGGGCTCAGCGAGGTGCTTCTCTCCCGGGGTCCTTCACAACCAGCTGGTGGCCGGAGCCAGGGCCCCCTAACGGCTTCTTCGCGTGGGTATCGCGTCTGACACGCAGCCTGGGATGGGAGGAGGGGCAGGAGGCTGGTCCGACATCTCCCTCCACGCAGACTGTCCGTTGGGTGCCATGAGCTTCCTCACAGCATGGCAGCCGGCTTTCCCCACCGGAAACAGATCGAGGGAGTCCCACAGAAGCTGGCAGCCTTCTAGAATCTGTAGCAGGATTCTCGCACACAGAGTCGTGACACTGGGGCTTTTCTTTCCAGGAAGCAACTTTATTCCTGCCGGCACCACTCAGTTGGGCTCGTACCCGAAGAACGGAGCCCCGAGCTCCACTTGGCGTAGTTTTATATATATTTTCTCCTTCTTTGTCTCCCATATGTAAGTGGTCTCATGTTACGAGGTCATCAGCGATATTATTACAGACGTGTAGAGCCAGGTTGCCTTGGGGTTTTTTTCTTTCTCTCCTTAGTGATGGGACCCAACCACAAATCTAGCCTCACGGAGTCCCACCTACCATGTTCTGCTAATCACAGCAATCGCAGGCAAACCCAATTCAAGAGGGCAGAGGAATAGAGTGCATCTCTGTGCTCGAAAGCCAGAGCTGGCGTAATAAAAGGGAGAAGATGCAGACTATGACGTGCAAAGGCAGCGGAGGGCTGCCTACGTGGGGTCAGCCAGTGGCTCCCTTGGCACCTGGCCTCCCCGCTTCGGGACGTGAAAACCAGGGTCATTTGGCCTGATGGTGTAGTTTTAAGACACCCACACGAAGAGAGTCAAGTCACAAGACTTTTCTATCCCAAAGCCCAGGAGCTGGGGAGGGTCGGTGAGTGGTTTCCAGGGGCTGGAATTCAGGCACGGGCTGCTCAAGTCTTTGCATTCATAACCTTTGAGCTTTTAGCAGCTTACAAGGTATTTTTTGCCCCCATGGGGTAGCGTCGCTCCCTCATACAGATGGGGTCATTTGTTTCCGAGAAGGAATCTGCCTACGGAGGGGGTACTGGGGCTCGAATCCGGGTCCACCCCCTGGAAATCCTGGGCTACGCCACTGTCTTCCATCTTATCATATTTAAGAATAGAAAAGCAGTTATTAAAACGACGAGATCTGGACATCCCAGCTCCTTACTGATTTGAATAAGGGCTCAGTCATAGTGGG